AACACTCTCCCTTACGCCAGGCGGCCTCGTCAAGAAGAGCGGCTGCCTCCGAGCGGGGCTTCGAGGGTGGGGAGGGCTGCAGAGGCCCCTCTGGTCAGCACCCCTCCTGTCTCTGAGCAAGACCTAGCCCGCCTCCCCACTCAGCCCCCCGCTCTCTAAGCCACCAGCCCAGGTGGCACTCACCTGTAGAGGGGAGAGGCTGGGCAGAGGTGACGATCTGATCCAGGGAGACGGCCCCGCTGCCGTTCTCCCCACTCCCGTGCTCATCTGCAACAACCAGAGAGTCAGCCTGCAGCAAGAGCACCAGGGGGCCCCAAGGGACTCCCTCCTGCGAGCCCCCTCTTTTGGGGTCAGGGAAGGTCCGGCCCCCACTCCCGCTCACCTCCAGAGGGGCCTCCGGCCATGAGGTCCTCATCGTCAAAGGTGCTGTCGTAGCCCTTCCGGAGCCAGTGCGTGCTCTCGGGCTCTGTGTCTTCCGGGAACGAGGCCTCGTCCAGTCGGCTGGAGGCCTGGGCCACCTGCAGAAGGAAGCAGGAGAGTTGGCGGGGGGCCATCTTGCAGCCCGGTCTCGCCCCCTGCCCACATCTCGACTGCCGCTGAAGCCTGGGAACTCCGGCCTCTTCCCTCCCACGATGCCAGCATCCTGCAAGATGCTGAGCCGAGGCCAAAGCTCCCTACCCCGGCACGAGGCGCAACCCCACGGGGCTGGTTTAGGGGGCTGAGCCACGGCCGGAGGTGCCACACAGGGAGAAGGCCTCCCCGCCTGGAAAAACAGCATCAAAGGAATTCCAGCCACTTCACTGCATCCGAGAGAGCCAGAATTGGCAGGCTGCAAAGAGGCGTGGCACAAACAGGGCAAGGTGAGAGTCCTCGGAGCTGCTCTGGGGTGGAAGGGCAGACGCTGGGACTACCTCAAGGGCTCTCAGGAGGGAACGAAGGAATGTGATTCGAAGCAGCGAGAGAGGCCTGGCGGGAAGACGCTGCCCAACCATCCGATCTTCGGATTCTCCCGCAATGTGCGTGCAGACGCCGCAAACCGAGACCAGAAATTCTCCCCACTGGCCCCAGAGAACAGCCCCCCCTGCGCCAAACCTCTATTTCTTCCTCAAAAACCACAAAGCCAAGGGTAGGAGATGCCCCTGATCCATCCCAGATGAGTTTTGCCCTTCCCCAGGACGTCCTGCAGAGTTTATCCCGGGACTTGAGATGTCTCTGTCACAGGCCGGAGCAGATGGCACAAATTTAGGTGCTCTAAATGTCATTTCCCATCCCAGGAGGAAAAAAAGACAGGCCTGGTCTTGGGGATGCCCATGGCCACGCTGGCACGGCTACAATGGGGAGCGAAACGGTCTCCCAACCACCACCTGGGTTCTCTTCCTTGCAAACCTGGAGTTCCCCTGCTGGCGCTGACCTCCCACGGGCACCTCTGCAAATGCAGGGAAGGACACACCGCCCCAAAGTGGCCGAAAGGGGCAGAATTGGTCAGTAGACTGGACTCGGCCAAAACGAGGCTTTCCCTCTTGCGCAACAGGCACTCAGTTCCCCCCCAGCTCTGCAAGGGAAGGCCGCCGGGCAAACCTCTTTCCGCCCCCTGGACGTCTGAGGGCAGTTTACCCTCTGCTTTGCTCCCTCCCGATACAGCGGGGGCCAAGTGAGGACAAACCCTCTGTACGCCTGGCACAGCGGCCTCCAGGCTATAAAGACTCCCCGCCGGTCCTTTTCGCTTGCTGCAAGGCCGCTGGGCTGCTTCTGCTAGAGCAAACTTAGCATTCCCGTGGCACGCTGATTTGGGGAGTCGCTGCAGGAAGGTCCATCTTTGGCTGAACCGGAGAATACGGATCCCTCCCCTCTGCTGTTAATCACTTCTAAAAAGCAGGCTTCTAGCCCCTCCTGAGGAGCACCTGATCAGGTCTCCCGGTGCTTGAGAAAGCACCCAGGGAGCCCTGTGCACCAAGCCAGGGTCCTCTGTTTTCCAGAGAGGGGCTCTTGCGAGGGGCTCCCTCCAGGAAGGGCGTGCCAGCCTCTGCCCACTGGCAACCAGGTCAACCCATCTGAGCGAATGTCTGTGCAAACCCATGGGTTGCAGAGAAGGCAGGTCACGACTAGAGAGCAATGCAGGCAGGGGTGAGTTCAGGCTGAGCGCGCAGCCGAGCGGCTGGAGAGGGCTGCCCGGCCAGACGGCCCCCGTCTGTGCCAGCAGGAAAACTCTCCTCGACTTGGCCCCTTCCCTCCCTCCCGCCTCGCGGCCGCAACCCCTCCTGACCACAGCCCACGGCTGCCACTCCAGGGGAAGCAGCAGCGTGTCACTGCAGGGGAGCGTGGCGGTGAGCTCACCGCGCCCACGCCAGGGCCCAACACAGAAATCCTCGCGTAGGAAGGCCGATCTGAGCGAGCAGCTGGCCACCGCCACCTCGCAGAAACACCGTTTCCGGTTTGAAAGGAGGCAGGGGCCAAGAGGCTGCGGCGCCTCTCCTGCTCTCACTGCTTAGGAATTCGGGGCAGACTTCCCCTAGCACTGGAGGTTCTCACGGTCCTCCTGGCCACTTCGCCCAGTTTCCGCTTAAAAGTCCTCCCGTGGCCAGAAACTCCATTCATCTGCTTCAGGACGATGCTGGCCTGCCGGCCCTAAAATCAGCGCTGGCTGGGGGATGATGGGCGTTGTAGAACAACCCGTTTTGGAGGGGTCCCTGAACCTGGAAAGAGGGGCTCTTCTGGCCTCTGGGTAAGGGGAGGAGGGCTCCCTCCGAAGCCACAGGCCTCCTTGGCAGAAGGCAGACCCCTCCATTTGCCCCCTGCACAGCAAGTGGAGGAGGAATTCGGTATTGCTGGGTCTGTCTGCCTGGGTTTCCCTCAGCTGGTGGGGCACAGCTGGGCCTGGGCACCCAGGCAGGGCCCGGAGATGGGAAAGGGTTGAAGGGTTGGCCTCCCCTCCTGCGCATGTGTCCACAACGGCTGGGAAGGCTCCCCATCGGCCAGTGGGTCCAGGGAGAGGCATGTTGACCATCCCAACTGGGTTACCGGAGGATCCCGCTACGCCCCCCCAGCCTCTAGCTTGCTACCCTGAATGGAGACTGGCGTGCAAAGGGCCAGGAGGGCGGAAGGTCCCCCCAGGCATCCGGCACCCCTTTGCGCTCTCCCCTCTGGGCAGCAGGAGGAGAGGGCGGGGAGGCTCTGGGCACCACCAGAGAATCAGAGATTCAACATCAGGGCTTTCCGCCTGCCCGTTTGGGGCAGGGAAGCTGACGGTCCCGATCCCGAGTTGGGGTTTTTCAGGAGCTCCCTGGGGCCTCAGCCTCCACCTGCCCCACTCCTCAGGGGGACCCCAGGGGAGAAAGACCAGCCAGTCCCAAAACTGGGCAGTGGGCTGCCCAGGGCTACAGACCGGGACAGGAATTCGCCAAAGCAGCATTTTCCTGTGCAAACACGGCCAGGCGCATTACTGCAGGCTGGCCGGGCTGGGGACAAAGGACTGAACGGCCAGCATAAAAGGGGATTTAACTGGCCGGGCCAGCCCTTTGTGAAAGGAAGAGGGGAAACAGGAGCTGACGGACCATGGGGCCTGGGAGGGCCAGCGGGGCACCGTGCCAGCCTGCCGGCATCTGCCTTGGCGCTCACGGCCCTGCCAGACCGACACTCTTCTCAGCTGGCCAGTCAGTGGCCTTGGCCCAGCCAGGAGGGCGGGCACAAGTGTTGCCAGCTGGGCGATGGCACCGGTGGAGGAAGACGCCCCACAGGAGGGGATGTCAACCTGCTTGGGGGAGAGGAGGAAGATCTCTGCAAAGCCAAGAGAGAAGCGGGTGCCTAGCGCTGCCCGAAAGAGGTCATCTCGGAAGTCACTCAGCGCACCACACAAGCGAAGTTCCAAGTGTGCGAGAGCCTTCCTGGAAAGGAGGGGCTCCTAATGCCTGGGAAGGCGAAGGCCACCGTGGGCGGCTGCGCCCCTGCTTCGCCTGCCAGACCCTCAGCTTCTCCAGGTGGGGCCAGGAAAGACCCAGCCTCAAATGCTGCGGCCACTCGGCGCTGACCGCTGTGGGTTCGAGGGCATGAGAGGTGGACCGGACAGGCCTCCCACTCTCCCGAGGGGGCTTCGAGCCCCCCTCAAGCCAGGGAGGGCCTAGAAGTGGAGCCCAGGGGATTCTCTCCCCTGCTTGGCCCCCCTGGGGGTGGAACAATTCTGGCACCCCCCCAAAAAACACACGCACACAGCCAAGGGCCCTTCCTCCATTGCAAAGATCTTTCCACTTCTCAGCCAGCCTTGGTCTTCCAGTTGCCCCCAAAAAACAAGGGAAACTAAACTGGAGCCTGCTCGCCCACCAACACCCCCAAGCAGAGAAGCAGCAGTAACAACGCCCCCCCCCCATCCAGGCTACAGCAAGAAACCCCGTTAGCCTGTAATCCTCGCTGGCGGGAGCAGACCGGCGCTGGAACTGGTTCTGGAATTGTTTATAGCCCCCTTGGCATCCCCAGCCGGGCCTGGCCGGAAAGAAAACACCCCCCTCCCTCTCTTCTCCCCCCCCCACGCCACTTGCACCTGTCACCCGAGCAAGGGCTGGATGGAAAGCAGGGTCTATTTCAGACAAAGCCTTCGGCCGTGCAGCTGAACAGCTCAGGAAAAAATAGTCCTCTGGGTCACCATGGGGAGGTGGGAGGGGGAGCTGATCCTCGTCTCCTTGCACACACCCAGAGGTGCCCACCTGTTCCCTGGGGAAGGAGAGCCCAGCTGCCAATCAAACCTTTGGCCACTCAGGTCAACGCCGCTGCCAGGCCCTGGTACGGGGTTCGGCAAACCCCCCAGGAAAGGGCCATATCACCCAGAGGACAAAGGGGCCACAGCAGAGCAGTTCAGCATCACAGCTCTGTTTGTTCCTGGGTCCTGGGCAGACACAGCCCTGGAAGGTGGTAAAATAAACTCGCTCTGAAGGAGCTTATGGTGGGGTTCATCCAAGTTACTCCGCTTTCTGAGCGCCCCAGTACACGGCATCATAAAACCAGTCCAGCGGATTCAGTTTGCAGAAGATGCCAGCCCCCCAAACGAGCGAACGAACTAAGGGTGGCCTTCACCAAGCTGCACAAGTTACGTGAACGCGGGTGGCTGGTGTTCCGATGACCTGCAGATTTGGGGAAGCTGGGCAGGATGGAGAGGTGCCTGGGAGGTGCGTTGGGGGTGGGGAGGCAGGGGGCCTCTTTCCTCCCCCCGTCCGAAGCAGCGTCTCCCCGCCCGACCTGCCTAGCGCCCAGCGCAGCTTTCAGGATGCTGACGGTCAACCTGCCCCTCGCGGCCAGAACCGAGGCAGCTTCCTGAGTCAACGTCTGGCTGGAAATTCCTGCCCTGTGAGAGCCCCGATGTGAAAAAGGGAATGCCAGCCCCTTTTGGCACAGGGTACAAAGGGAGGAGCGGGTGAAGGCGCTGCAGCAGGCAGAAGCAGCAGCTGGGGGGGCAGGGAAACAGGTACGGGACTTCTCCACTGGGCAACACCTCCCACAGCTGGCAGGGACACAGCAGGGCACGGGGTGAGCGCACGCACGCACGCACGCCCTCCTCCTCGGCCTCCCTCCCTGCCACCAGGAA